CATCCACTGTGACTCACAACACATTAGCAATGAACATGAAGCCAACTGAGTGAGGGAACAGACACACCAGTAATACATGTGTGAGGACTTATGTTGATTGGTCCTGCTCTAAATCTAAACCCCAGCCACTGGGAACCTACAGCCATGTGGAGGAAGGATGAGGGATCCCAATCAAAGGGATGAACTGCAATTTTGATGGCTCACTCCAAAGCTACAACATTCCCTCAGATTGTCTCATTCAGAGATGGAGCATCAGATTGGAGGACGCCTCCTCATCTGCACCAGAAGAACACCACTGCCCTATTCTCAAATGAATAGATTCATTATTTTTTGTATCATATATCACTATCACATTCAGAAGGATATATCCATGGTCCACTGCCCCAGCAGCTTGGAACTGGAAAGTTGTAAGGACTCCCATACTCCACTAGAAGAAATATGGGAGAGTCAAGAGGAACGTCAACAGCAAAGACAGTCCAATGGATGACCACAAAAACCCTATTGTGAAAAACAAACCACTCCTGATTTATTCAATCTAAGGAATGCAGGGATTAGCAGCTATCCCCTTTTGCTTTACCCATGAAGTCCATGGATCAGTACTGTGAAAAACAGGCATAGTAATGAAGCACATATATCATGAGGAAAACACCTACAAGCGATCTTGTGGAAAACCCCATGTCAACAGTGTGTGTTTAGAGGCCATAGAAATTGTAACTGTTAAGTGATCATGGCCTTACAGTGCAGATTTGACTAATTTAAGTAGACCTGGACAAACACCTCTCACCACAGAGTGGGATCAGTAAAGAAAAAAGGGATATGATTCTGAAAAATAAGAGGTATATATATATATATATATATATATACAAAAAGGTAACTTACTCAGTCACAGTCTCACCAAAGAGTGAAGGATGGCAACGGGTGTTAAATCTAATCTAACATCGTAGTACAAAAGATATCACTAAACTTTAATTAAAAAACCCTAACTGTACAAAAAATACATACAAATCTAACTAAACGTATGTTATTGAAACCAAATAACTACAAATAATAATATTAATATCAAAAATATTCAAAAAGCTATAACAACATAACAGCGTGTCTGTCCAAAGTCAGCGGACTGTATTCAAAACATGTGGGCACCCAAACTTGAGGCCGACCGAAGGTCAACTCATATAATGATCAATCTCCTAACGTATTAAAACTTACAATTCCTCAGTCAAAAACTGCCTGGACAATTGTGCTGGAATTAAATTATAACATTTCGAAGTGGAAACATAAGCTTTGATGAAGAACAATAAAGCTAATTTATCACATAAAACTGGTAAAGTGAAGTAAGAAAAAAATATCTCCACTTCGTATGAAAAAAAAAATTTCAAGAAGAGAGCTTAAACAAAAATGTCTTGACCATAGCGCTGCCACACGAGAAGTGATAGTTTAATATAATTTAATAGAGGGAGTCACGTGTGTCAGGAGAGTGTGTCACACTCCTATTGGTAGAGGGTGCCACATGATGATTTACATGCAAGATGCAATTGAACAACATTGATCTTGGGGTACATGGGTGCTCAAGGCTTGTGGCATACAAAAACAATTTTGCATATAGAGGGCAGCACTGAACGAGAATGGTTATTTATGCGAGAGGATGTAATGTACCATATCGGAATGAAATGTTTTTCTTCTGTAAGTGCCAAAACTGCAATCATACATAAGGTAAAGTAGGATACAATACAATTTTCCATTAAAACAGTAGATAAGTTCTTTCACTACACCAACTACAGAAAATAACACCTCGGAGTGAATTTAACACATGACCTGAACCAAATTTAGCAAGTTTCAGACCAGAACTTAAAAAAAAATATTTCTAATTTTGAAGAGATGATATTTATACATGTATGGCTACAAAATGAGATCTAATATAAAAATAAGCAGCAATTAAAAGAAGATATAAGCACAAGTCAGTGAAATTGTACTTATGAGTAAAAAGTTTCTGTACTAAAAATGTTTATATTATATGTAGTCTTGGTCCTCATTCTATTAATTTTTCTTATTAAGTAATTAGATACATCATACACATCTTCACTAATTATAAAAATGTAACCATAGTTCAAATTGTGATATAACTTTATATGAGTCATTTATTACTCTTCTAAAATGAAAACTTCAATATATTTATTTAGAATTAGTAAGAAAGTACCTAAATGGTATTAATATGAGTGGAAAACAATTTCATAGACTTTCTACACAAGATGCAAAACAGAACTACAGACTCACTCAGGAGAATTGAGGTTCAGGCCCAGTGTGGTGAGATCACTACCAAGAGCTAGGGATACTAAACTGTTGTCTGACTCTGCTGCCCGGATAAATGTCAATAGCCCAACCATCCCAAATTGATCCATTACCATACCAGGTGGTATATTGGTTACTCGACCTATTAACATTTTGTATTTAAAATAACTAAAGCTTTCTTTATCATTAATTACTATAATATTGTGTTATTAAATTTTTCTATCAGTAACTAGTTTAGAGACTCAGGTTATAATGAGCTCAAAACAGTGGTTTAGATATTACTCAAGCTATTCAATTGTATGTAAAACTTCTATCTTTGTCAGACTGACAATCAAAAGGTATAGCTTTTATCTTGTCTCCTACGAAGTTGTGGGGGAAGATATAAATATAGAAGATATAAAAATAGAAGATAATAAGTTATTAAAAGCATTTTTCCAAAGTTATATATCTTGAGTCAATCATACAAAAATCGCCATGTTTTGGTGCAAACTTTGAACACAACAAAATCTGTTCTCATATAAAATTCTGGTTAAGTTTAGGGTTTGATATCCTGCTTCACAAAATGCAATGAAACTCTCAAAATGTTGTCTTTGATAATGACAAAAAGTCTTTTCAAAGAAAGGCCACTTTTACTCAGGGTATTTCCATTTTTACCTTGATTTGCATTGTAAGAATGGTTTTCAACATGTTCATGACATCTAGGACATTCTCCATATTTAGTAGAAACAAAAATAAATGTTCTTAAGCTATTTCTGCAAAAGGTGAACCACTGGGCACAAAAGTTGTAATGTTCAAAAGATCTAACACTTAATTATCATTGAAAGGCCATTTTAGTGCTAATGATCATCTGCCAGATATTGCGATGACCAAAACAGCGACTAATTTCTATACGATCGACACCAAATTTTCAGGTTGAAACTATACAAATAATAATCTATCATAAAAAAAAGTAATAAGTACATAATAGGTACACTATGTGGAAGAGTAATAATACCAAAAATCTTACAGATAGATATTTTGCAGTTAATACTTCCAACCAGTGCTTTTTTTATAAATATAACTGCAATTATTTTTAAGGTTTGAAACAAAACACTTACCATCTTTTGATGTTTGAATACCACGTTTTTGTGAAGATAAGGGTTTATCACCAGGAAACCGCCCATCTTTTGAATTATCCGTTCCATTACCTGAAGGCTAGATTTATGAAGTATACACATTTCAAACAATTTTGCTGATGTTACATACATATCAAGAATATACATGAAATTCATAACTTGATTAGATTTTCTCAAATGAAGAAAACAATTTTCAGAAACTAAAAACTGACAAATATAATAAATTGACCATTCAACAGGAAGAATATAAATAGTCAAGCTATCATAAATATAGTTTATGTTTGTGGGTTCATGTCTTATAGAACTATATTATAAAATGTTCTGTTTTAGTAACTTCAAGGATAAATTCAAAGATCTAGTCTGTAAAAGGTTTGGTTGTTTGTTTGGTGCTTTATGGTGACTATTACCAATGACACTGTCCAACGTCAGGGGTAAACTCATAGAAAATTTGTGTCTAAAATAGTGCCGCCACTCACGGTCATAACGACGGCATGACAGTAAAATGTGGACTATTGTGACTTGAGTGTCACAATGACTACACATTAGTGGATCAATACCGGATAAAAGAAAATGATGGGTTAAAAAACTATGACCAATGCATAGCCTTGCCAAGACAACTTCCTCCTTCTGATCCTTACGGAAGAAAGACAGCCAAAGACCAACAGAAGGTTTGATCTGAAAAAGCTTGTTATGACGTTGCTTACCCCAAGTTGACTGCCAACTGGCATGAAGCCGTGCCTTGAAGACAAGACCGTAGTTCATGTACGGGACAGGTACGGCCGTGACGGCACCAGAGCAGACGGACTTAGCTGTGTCAGTGAGCTCGTTTCTGTGAATACCGACGTGGCCAGGTATCCATAAAAACTGGATGGAAGCAGAAGATAAAGAAAATTGGGCCAGTCGTTGTTGAATATCGACGAGAACAGGGTGAGAAATAATGTTAAGCGATTCCAGGGCCAGTAGAGAGCTAAGAGAATCAGTGTAAATAGTACAATTACTGTACTGCATAGCTTCTACATGATCCAGGGCAAGAGAAATAGCATACAACTTGGCAGTGAACACAAGAACTGTAAAGGGGATCCCGCGAGCAACTACCGAGCCCCAGCACACCATGGCAGAACCTACAGAGTCACCCGATTTTGAACCATCTGTGTAAATAGGAAGAGAGGAATGGTAAAAAGATGTTCAGCAAAAAAGAAGATGGTACTTCCAATCGGGAGTATCT